TTTGCGGTTTCAACAGAGCCAATCAGGTTTGCGGTTTCAACAGAGCCAATCAGGTTTGCGGTTTCAACAGAGCCAATCAGGTTTGCGGTTTCAACAGAGCCAATCAGGTTTGCGGTTTCAACAGAGCCAATCAGGTTTGCGGTTTCAACAGAGCCAATCAGGTTTGCAGTTTCAACAGAGCCAATCAGGTTTGCGGTTTCAACAGAGCCAATCAGGTTTGCGGTTTCAACAGAGCCAATCAGCTTTGCGGTTTCAACAGAGCCATTTAGGTTTGCGGTTTCAACAGAGCCAATCAGGTTTGCGGTTTCAACAGAGCCAATCAGGTTTGCCGTTTCAACAGAGCCAATCAGGTTTGCCGTTTCAACAGAGCCAATCAGGTTTGCCGTTTCAACAGAGCCAATCAGGTTTGCCGTTTCAACAGAGCCAATCAGGTTTGCGATTTCAACAGAGCCAATCAGGTTTGCGGTTTCAACAGAGCCAATCAGGTTTGCGGTTTCAACAGAGCCAATCAGGTTTGCGATTTCAACAGAGCCAATCAGGTTTGCGGTTTCAACAGAGCCAATCAGGTTTGCGGTTTCAACAGAGCCAATCAGGTTTGCGGTTTCAACAGAGCCAATCAGGTTTGCCGTTTCAACAGAGCCAATCAGGTTTGCCGTTTCAACAGAGCCGACATACCAATATTCCTCAGTCAGATCACATAAACCATTCTACGAAACATCTTTTTAGGTAATATGATTTTTCAGCTAATTTAGCTTATTCGTAATTTTGCTAATTTAAGATGTCTCTAATTCAAAATATAAGTATATTCTCATAGTGAGATTGTTTTACAATAGTGTTTCAATTGTTTTGATCAAAAACTAGAAACAATGTCACATTTGTTTGATCAAAAATTGAAATTGAATTTGGTGAAAATTACAGAACATTTTCCCAAATTTGAACGGGTACAAAATTTGCCACTCAAAGGGCTAATTACCTGCACTCTATAAAACTATTAATCTTTACTCACCTTCATCTGTCGAGATTGAGAAAGGAGACTGCGATCTAGACTCTGTTTTCTTTCCAGAATGTATTTCTACTGGTCCCTGGGCTGTAATGGCATCAAAGGTGGCTGCAGCATCACTATCTGGGGTCTAAATATACAGTCAAGTCAGCAAACATGACAGAGTTTTCTGAACAGTTTGGGAGGCTGTATTAATTTTTAAAATGTAACAGCTCACAATTATAGATATACAATGATGATAATAGTTGACGACAACAAACAGTATTATTAGCTGTAATAGTAAAAATAATTTGGACAAAATGGCCACCATTGACAACTGCACTTAAATAAACTATTCTTGTTTACAAAACTTTTCAAATTTACCCAAATTTAGCTGAAATGCATCTCCAAAACTGACACAATGGTTAATCTGCACAATCTCATTTGCATAGTTTAAAACTACTTGCTGATTGGCTCTGAAACGTGGACATTAAAACAGGGATGAGAGATCAGCCAATCAGGGAACAGTTATAAATTATACAAATAAAGAATATTAAATCTAACCTCTTGTTATTGTTATTTGTGAGCAAATTATCAAAGCTTATTTTCTCACCTTTGATCCAAGGATTGGTGTATTCTGCCCACTACCAAGTCTTGCATCAGAAGATTTGCCGTCTGCTGCCAGCAACTCCATCTTCTCTGCTAGCTCTGTTGCATCTATCCCCAAGTCTGTGCCATTAGCAATCGATACAGCAGCACCCGTAGCGGATGCTACTTTCTTAGTAAGTTCATGAGGATCATATCCAAGTAACCGTAAAAACTGATGTCTTGAATCTTTTTCAAAATGAACCTCAACAAAACATATATAATCTACTTTTAGATAACCTCAAAATCTACTAAAAACGACAAACATTTCAGTAATAGAAAATTTTGATTAAATTTGAGGTAAATTTACCTACGAAAGTCACTATGAAAAGCCTATGCGCAATAATCATTACTGTTTCACAACAAAAAACTCCTCAATTTGATTCAATTTGCCAACAGGTAATAATGTCCATTTGGTCAAAAAGCAAACTTTGCAAACAGTCTATTGTGATCGCATTATTTTCTATGTGGAGAGCACATCCAAATCCCGCCCCAAACACTTAAAGTTTCAACAATTCCATTTGCAATAACTTAACCACAGGTTTTATTGCAGTTAATTCAGCACTAGGACAGACATGAAAAGCTGATCTCAAAAAATACATTTTATTGTATCACATATGCCCCATCACCATTCCAATACACTGAGCAAAAAGTGATCCTCATTGCTGATGTTGAAATTCTATATATTTGAATAAAATGTAATCTGCGAACAAATATGCCTGTAAACTCACCTTCAGAAAACTCCAAACTTTTCCTTCAAACTGATTTTTAGCACCAGTAATTTTACTATCACAAAAATCTACAAAATTTCCACTTTGCAAAGCTGCCTCCAATTGAGATGATCTCTTCAACAATTCTTTCTCAGTGACCACCTGACTTATATGAACTGGCCGGGATGGTCTTTGTTGCTGTTGTCCAGTTGCTTTGGCCCCTTCAAAGGTAATTAGCTTTCCACCAAACTATGAGAAGAGATGAGTAACAGAATGCAATAAAACATTATGTATTACACCCGATGAAGTTCCCAATGGATGTCTCGTCAAAAAAAACTTTGCTAAATTACTGTACAAATAAACAGTTACAAGAACACTGATTGGAGTTGGCAAACATAGAATTCAAAACAAGGTACAGAAACCACACTGCCTCATTTCGTAATCAGGCATCTAGAAATGTGACAGAACTCAGTAAACATGTTTGGTCACTCAAAGAAAAAAATATTGAGCATGGAATAACATGAAAAATTCTTGCTCGTGGTCGTCCGTACAGTAGCTCCAGCAAACGATGTATTCTATGTTTGAAGAAAAAATTTATCATAATTTTTAGACCTCACCACTCCACACTAAACTAAAGAAATGAACTTGTATCATCATGCAGACACAGATCAAAAGCCTTATTATGTAACACTTAAACCTGTACGTTTTTTATTTTTAGTTAATTTTTTAATTAGTATGTTAATTTGCGAAGTTGGTGTATGTTCGTTGGTGCAGTGAATTATTAAATATATATATATATAAACATAAAGCTCCTGATGAGTGAGGTACTTGTACCTTACAAAACAGTGCTGTCGAGTTTCAATATTCATGTAGTTGTGTATTAATATATATATATATATATATATATATATATATATATATATATATATATATATATATATATATATATATATATATATATATATATATTGTATGTGGTTTCTAATATAGAAAATTACATCTACATACAAAATTGATTTTCGATAACATTCGTAACAAAGTATCCACCATGTCATCCAACAAAGACATTGGGAAACATGAGATGTAGTAAAATTACTGTGAAAATTAGACATGCATTTAAAGTGTTGTACTAGTCGTACACGGCATATTCAAATTGTCATGTCCATACAAGGGATCTGACTCGGTTAACTCTGTATCTACTTCAGGTTCCTTTTACTCATGACAATTTTCATTACAACAGTGTTTGTAAATATTTGTATGTGTAACAATTATGGGTAAAGAAATAAATTATCATTATTATTAATATTTTTTTACATGATCTGTATACATCACATGGAACCTATACTGAAGCACAATGCTTAGCAACAATGATAACACTTTAAACAACCAGATTATGCAAATTATGAAAGAATGTACATATTTTGTAACTGAGGTTCAGCAACAAAAAATGCCAATTTTTTGGCAATTTTAAGATGAATTACAATAGTTCTCAGAGATTTGGACATTGTGCATGGAAGACCCAGGTCATCTTTAATGCCATGACTGAAAAAAAATGGCTAATCAGATAATACAGTGTCAAGCTGTGTTACCATAGCAAT